CCCCAAAACCCCAAAACCCCAAAACCCCTGATTTAGAATATAAGGTGAAAAGAAGATTTATGAAAATTTATAGAAAAACTTGATGTCTAGAATTATAAGATGTTGAATAAATTACAGGGTTTTATCATTCTTATAGATTCTTGAAATGCAGTTTAAATTAAATAAGAATACAATAATATATATATTTTAATATAATTAACCTAAAATAAGCTAGAACCTTTACACTAATTTAGTTTATATCAAGTCAAATATTCCTCACATGTTCTCCTAATTGATCAAGCTCTTATGCTGCAACCATAATTAAAATCTTAACAGGCAGTAAAGCAGTATATCTCTCGCCCCTAGAGATCAAAATCTCAAAGAATCAGATATTCAAAAGTAAATTATTATGATGGAGGGATCGATTCTAGAATCATTGTAAAGTGATGATAATAAGCCAAATAAACTTGCCAATTCCTCTCCAGATAGCATAAATCAAAATGTGTTCGTTGTAGAAAATTTGAACTATGATTAAGTGATTAAAGCAATGCTAACTGAAATGGATGAAAGTTTTAACAGTCAAAATGTCAAGGTTGTCGGTTAAAGCTAATAAAGCAACTCAAATGAAAATCAGTAAAATAACTCTATACCATAGGAAATGATTGTTTTATCTGGCAGTAACGATCCTGAGTCACTTATGGAGTACACGGTGCTTGAGATCTCAAGAAATGGTTTTTCTTCTGCTGGGTCTCAAGAGTAAATAGACACTGAGAGTATAAACTTCGAAGATGACTCATAAATATACCAGTATTTATTGGAGGAGAAAAGAGAGATTTAATTGCTATTTGGTGAGGAAGACTAAAAATTTGAACATGCTAAACCTAAATAAAGTGTTATAATACTAGACTAAATGGAACCCATTAACGAATATTAAGATAATGATGAGAATAAGCTTTCATCATTATTCATAATAAGCCCTGCAACTGTTATCGCATCGAAATAAATCTCAGATCGGAAAACCAATGAAAGTTTCTAAAGAAATTCTAGGACTTAAGCATCTTATAAAAACAGCCTTATGAGTACTCCGAAGTCCTCTTTCAATTATTCTGTCCTTATGAAACACAATGAATCTAGCAAGCAATCAAGTCAAGTGAATCTCCTAGTTTAAAGACAGAATAGGAAAAAGAAGAATAAGCAGGGTAAAGCTGCTTCAAACTAACTATATGGAAGAAGTTATGATTTTAACAACGGCAATATCACTGATAGCGTCTAAAATCAAACTAATTAAATCTTAAGCCTTTAAACCCCTGAAAATAGATAGAAAAGTTCAAAGTTTAAGTCAGTGCTAATGGAATAGTAAGAATAGCAGTAACCATAAAAGTTTAAGATCAGTTCTAAAGCTATTGAGCTTAGAAGAAACCATAATTCAAGCCTATTTCAGTCATCATTGCAATCATTTTCACTTGGTTACACTAGAATGTGAGATATGCATATAAAATTCTTGATAAATAAAAAAGCAAATAATCATTCATTTGGCATATAAATAAAATAATAGCCTTAAATAATTTCCTAATTTCTTGATTCTCTAATACTTGATTTAACGGGGTTTTGGGGTTTTGGGGTTTTGGGGAGATCGGAA